CGCCCCGCTGGCAGGCGCAGAGTCGTGACTCATTGGTGGTGAACCGTGGTCAGGCGGCGAGGGTGTGTCCGGAAGCCGGGCGAGGGGGTCACGGCTTCTCGCGGCCAGCACCCGGCCGCCCGTGAACCCCCCCCCCCCTCCGTCACGCGCCACGGCCGGCGTCACACGGCAGCTGTTCGACTATTTGGGCCACCCCTTCCCCGCTTTTCATGCTAGCGTTCGCCACAAGGTACGTGCAGCAATGTTTGGCCGACGGCCGACGACGGGGATCACGGCTCTGCACGGGCAGCACCCGGCCGCCCGCAAATTGCGACTCAAGTTCAGTTAAGTCCACCTAGTGATGCCTAAAATGGCAGATTAAAATGAGCTTTCCGCCTTTAAAGCGTGCTTCTACTGTCGCTGGTTTGATGCGCAGCACGATGGACACGCTCTGCTGCTGCATCGAGTTTCACCCGGGGCTCTGGCCTCACATGCATGAATAATGCGCATCTATATTACCACGTACTTCCACGCTTAATTTGACGGCGGTTCTTTGCACGTGCGACACGTTTTCCTTTTTTCGACGAAGTTTCAGCGTGTGACTGCATTAATTATGATTTGTGCTGTTATCTCTGATTCAAAGGCAGGGAGTTCAGTATAATGCGTCAACACGCAGATCCGGTGACATCTCCGGCGTGAGATCAGAATTAGTGTCATTCGTGTCAGTGCGTTTGCCTCGATACGGCAACCAATTACAAACGAGATAAGACTGAAACTTTGACACTCTCTCGTGGCAAACATTGTATTCTATCTTTAAAGTAGTCTTGCCCTCACGCTGATAGGAGGGGGGATGCAACCCCATAAGGCTCTTTGAGGATGCACCCGCGACATGTTGTGCAATCGCGCCCAAATGATCAGTATTCTATGATGCATTCTTGCGCGTATTTTAACATAACAGACGTGTTCCTATCGTTTCTGATTTCCGGAGCAGCGGCGGCTCCGAGGAACACTGCGCGGCGAGGTACGGCCGGCGCGGGCGGCGGGCGCCAGCCGACGATGCCGCGGAACGCGCGCGGCGAGCCGACATTGGGCTCCACATTTGAAGAGAGCAAAGCAAGCATCAGATATTACGTAAGTTGTTCAGTGCATTAGCGAGGAACATAATTCGCATAGATAGGACAGTGGTATTAGCCTTATTCCTCGGGAAGAAAAACAGGAGAATGGAGTTATAGTTCGGCTGATATTTGGGCAACATGCCTTTATCGAGACGATAGTCAGAAGTCAAATTTCTGACTATTGTTTCGAATTCAACGAAATTCAACGAAAAAAAACAATGCAACGAAACTTTATACCATGACCTTGAATTATACCCTATGGCGTTTACTGCAGTGGCTCTTTTCGAGGCGCACTTTGGCTTTGGGAATGGGAGCATCATATGCTCCATGTGACGCACTAGTTCAAAATTGCGCCGATGCGCTCTTCGGTAACAGACCTTTGCCCACCGGACCAGTCGCGAATGTTCTTTAATTCACACCAGTAGAGGTGCACATGGTGGTTGTCATGACGACAGTGGTCGCGTGCGCAGGGAAGAAGTGTAGCACTTTTACAATGCGTTGACAGCGTAATTTTTGCTAGAAATTAATACAAATTGCTATCCTTGTTATGACTAGACGGTGTTGCAGTGGCATTACCCAGCGCTGTTATTAGAAGTAACTAGCCTGAGGGTTCACTAGAGCATGTCTTCGAAATATGCCGCGAAGGTGGGGTGTGCCCTTTAACGGAGGCATGCATCATAAACATATGCTCGAAACACGTAAAACTTCATACCGCTGTACTTAAAATGGAACAGCACAAGACACGCTAGTTAAGGTTTCGCGTCTTTAAGAAGTATGGTCTTGTGCAGATGAAAGTGTAAACCTGAAAAGTGCAACTTACCAAAAGGTTAACATTTCAACTGGCATAATAGGGTCAATTATTGACCTAGCAACATAAATGGTACTGCTTGTAGCTGGATGTCGTTGAGACCAATCCACTGGCGGTTTCCCCTAAGCTAAATCGTTCTTAGTTTGGAAACGGCAAGGGGTTGCATCGACACCTCTCTCCCCTCCCCCAACCCCTGTTGGTCCATGCTGTGAAAAACGGCGACACAGGGAGAGGGCTAAATAATATCTAACGCTCATGGACGTGTGGCAGCGAGGTTAGCTAGGAAAATGTCGGGTATGAGTACGCGTACATTTTCGGCCTGGATGACTCGTTTTGGGCAGAAATTCTGTCTCTTAATTCTGTTCTGCCGGCCGATCATCTCGGACAATTGTCCGGAGCGTTGAACACGGGGAATCATCGTCGATAATTATCCGCACCGAGTAAGAATGCCGGAAAATTTTCCGAACATGGTCACAACAGAGAATCCTTTTTCGTCATGCATAGCTATGATCGTTGGTTATGCATAGAGCATGCGAGACGAAACTGGGGATGATTTCCTGGCCTGCCGAACGTAAATGGAAAATCTCCGTGGGTGATAACCGGAAATGAAATTTTACACATTGAATTGTTTTCCGTCGGCCGAATGCGCCCTTATGCTGACATACCCTTCCGACGCCATCCCGGTACAAGCGACACCGCAACTGCGCTCAGAGTTCAGACAAGTCCCGACGGCATCCAATCCAATCAGCCGAGTGCGGACAAGTCTTGATGACATCCAATCCAATCAGCCGAGTGCAGACAAGTCTTGACGACATCCAATCCAATCAGCCGAGTGCGGACAAGTCTTGACGACATCCAATCCAATCAGCCGAGTGCAGACAAGTCTTGACGACATCCAATCCAATCAGCCGAGTGCAAACAAGTCCCGACGACATCCAATCCAATCAGCCGAATGCGGACAAGTCCCGACGACATCCAATCCAATCAGCCGAGTTCAGACAAGTCTCGACGGCATGCATCAGCGCCGGCCCTGTGTCTTCTGTGGGGTTTGTCGCAGCAAATCATCGTAATCATGGCCGGCCTTTCCAAAGCCTGGCAGCATCAAAAGCCGGCTTGCAGTCAATCTGCTTCCAAACGGTGACAGATGTTGAGGTTCTTGCAAACTCTCGAACTGCAACGTGTGTTCTTACCAGCCGCAAAGCCGATTGGTAGTAAAAGTGGCACATTGATTTCGTCAAATACTAATCCCAGCTCAAACTTCATAACTTTTTTACAAAATCATGGCGATATAAATAGAGAAAATTAAAAAATCATCGCTTATAACTCTTAACTGTGACGATGGCAACAGGTTTGCACCGCTTCCGCTGTTGCATAGCTACGCTAGCCTTTCATTGGCATTGCCTGGAGACACGAAGCCTCCTACGCATCACCTCTTCAATATATAAACGGCGACCCCTTGCTAGGGGTGCACCCTTTGCACCCTTTGCAAGGGGTGAGTGAAAGCAATTTACATCACTGATCTGTGTCTGAGCTTGCGGTTTGCGGAGCTTGCTTGCATTACTTCATAATATATAGCGTTCATACAGGATTATCAAGACTACTGATGACTTGGAGTGCTCCAAGACACTGGGGACGCTCTCTGGGGCCAAGAGGGTCACCGGCACGTACCCGAATATTTGGCTTGCTCGATTCACAAAGCGCACGAATGTAATCGCCGCCATGGCCCGCTCATTAACTAGAAGGCTTCTCGTGCCCTTATAGAGGTGGGCCTGGGTAGAGGAAGAGGAGGTGGAGATGGCTTCCCGGGTCCACCAGCCAAGGTCCTCATGAACGTGGACGAAGTCGAAGGGGCATGGAGGAATGCGGTTCGAACTTGAGGACAACCTGAAGTCCTTCACGGACATGTGGGACAGTGAGAAGCTGGTCTGCTCTGCGCACAACGCAGTTGTCCTCTCCCACGGGCATACGGACGTATGCCACATTTACAGGTGGCTGGTCAAAGACGAGAGTATTCGTTACAACTTGTTTGGCTGCACCAAGCCTAAGGAGTCCTTTCAGAAGGTTATGGTACCCGTTGAGAAGAATGACGGCCGGCTGGTTAAATTGTCATCTGCAATAGTTACAGCTTTCTGGACAAATCGTTCAAGGCGCTGGTTGGCGCTTTATTCAACACAGTCAAACGAACCACAGCAACGCATCGAGGTGCGCAGTAAAGGAAAGAAAGGGAGGAAAAGCTACTGATTGGATCGAAACTAATTTTTCAAGACATTTTGTCCGTGATTGCAGCCTCGCGACAATCTTGCTTTGTTGCTGAGTAAACGCTAATTAAATTTTGCAGTCGAATCTGCCGATCCGGGTTCCACTTTGGAATACAGCCATTTTCGCAAGCCAAGTCCAGTAGAGAACAAGCCTGTATTCAGTTTCACACGATTCAGAAATGTGGCCTAAGCACAACATTTAGAGCACTCACCATCAGGAAGGCCAGTGCTGCGGATAGTTGTGTCACCTTGAGAAAGTCTTGGAGCGCATAACGTATAGCAGAAATACGTTATGATGGAGCCAGTAGGAGACCGTTCATCTTTAAAAGCATTGAGCTGAATCTCTTTTTATGACCACACCATGTCCGAAAAGCTTTATAATACCCCATGGCGTCGCACGGCAAGGAGAGTGCAAAATTCTCGTCCCCCATATCTTTTGAGGATTTGCCGTCACTTTCGGTACATCAGTGGCACAAAATTACCTGATCCGAATAATTTTGCTCGATTTTAACTTCCTGCATTTGCCAGCCCACACTTGCTGCGTATTAACTGTTGCCACAAAAAGACAAACGTTCGATACGTTGGACTAATGCCCCCATTATGGCGCCGGCCCCCTCAGCGGAGCCTCCCGGGAACACCACGTTTTTGTGGTCTCCCTCCTGCATCACTGACCGCTGTCACGCGTGACGCACGCACGCACCACCGCGCCAGCGCTCCGCACGCCCGGTGACAGCACAGCTGACCCACATACGCCGGCAGGGGCCCGGGTGCTCCCAGTGCTGCCAGAGCTGGCGACGCGACGGTGGGACGAGCTAGCCCTTCCCAGCCATGCGAGCGCTGTTAGCCTGCGCCGCACTGGTCCTGCTCAGCCACGCCGACACCATCGCTGGTGAAGGCGGAGATAACCAGACCAGCGCTGGCAACATCGAGGGCGATGAAGTGAAGGAAGTACCAGTCTGCGGTGAGGGAATTGCTGGGCTGTTCTCTTAAGAATTATTTCGGCGAGCGCCTAGTAGTTGTTTCGGTAAATGTGGCTGAAACGTGTAATACGTACGCAGCGCTGCTGTGATTTGTCACTTCATTTTTCTTTCTTTCCACGTGACAGTTTCGTGAAATGTCTTTTGATTTTCACGCACTTAGGCCCGTCAGAATTGCAGGTCAGTGCTTCGAAGATTTTTTCATAGGCATTTTGTAGAAGATGGGAAAGTGACACGAGGCTCAAGGTACCCTGAAACACGAAACAATTCATTTTCAAAACAAGCATAACGCATCGTTATACCTATGACCCCTTGATTTGTTTTAAGGTACTCGAGCAGTGAGTGCAACAGTGGTGCTAGTGGTAGAATTGTTTCATGACTACCCCCTTTCTTTCAGTTGAGCCCTGGAGCTACGAGGGCAGTGCAGGTATGAGTACAGACCTCCGTTTTAAACGATAATGCGTTGTTTTGAGAAGGTCCGATCGCATTCTTGACGCATTATAACAGCATGCAACTGCAGCAATTTATTGGAAGTGGCGCCAGCCGGCGTTCAACTTTTCCTTAAAATGAAGTTGGAAAAAGCTTCATCGCAGTTGAACAGGTGTGACTCTCATGGGTACTTTGAAAACAGTGTCTATTTTCAAACCGATTTTTCTGTTTTCCGAGTAAGATATGTCGTGTTTAGGCTCTGCCCTGGATTAAAATATGCTTATATTATCTACCTTGTGTGCTGAATAGATTAAGTCCAGTAGCCAGAAGAAAACTGCCGGCCATATGATTGCAAGATTTCAGTGCATGACCTAGATTCGTATCCGTCGCCAAATGACACCAATAGGCAAGGCGTATCAAATTAGAATATCAAAGTAGGCAGCTTGAGAATTCTCTGCGCGCTACCTTAGCTGCGTTACGCTTTGAAGCGAACCAATGCACGTTCAGCAAACGGAGTACATTTCAGCTGCCGGTGTTACCAATTTGAAAACACTTTTGCCATGCATTTGTTTGAAGGCTTTTGACACACATCTGACTGCAGGCCCCGGGAATTGGACAAGTCTTGGCTTTGCGGACTGCACCGGGTTGAGGCAGTCTCCTATCGAAATCGTCACGTGCGACTGCATCCGCTCGAAAATTCGACGCCTCAGACTGAGGCGCTTTGACAAGGCCCCGGAAAAGATGACGCTAAGGAACACACTTAACAGCGGTAAGTTGGTACCCACGGGTAAAGCTGGGTGCCTATTGTCGTTGCCAATTTTAAAAGGATGGGATGATGTTAAGTCGGCCAGGTCAGCTTCACAAGGCGCGCGTATGAGCTTGGATTCCACTCTTCTTCTTTTTGGTCGGCATTGCTGAAAATTGCTGTTGAAAAGATGTTGCAAAACCGTGGGGAAATGGGGGCAATTGCTGTGCAGGATTGCAGATTGTTGATTGCTGATGTTGCCGGCGTACAACAAAAAGTAGGCTTGTTTAGGGGTTCGAACCACATGGGACCAAGCCACAAAGAACCGTACACGTGAAATCACGATGAAGTACATGACGACAAATAAAAAACATTGTTGGTGTGAATTTCAGCGGCCATTTTGATAGGATACTTCTTTCACTGGGTTTTGTTTTTATCGTAGTTTGTATGTATTTTATTTGTGCCTTTCGTATGATTTCGTATTCGTGCGCAAGGACCTGTTTCATACAAAAGGCTAATCCGTATTTGAGCATTCATTAGGCCCCCACATGTCGCTGACCTTTTTCTCGCCGTGTAGTCCGTGCGAGCTTGACATGGGATGACGACGAAGATCGACCTCTGGTCAGGGGCGCTGGTCTTCCTGGTAGGTTCGAGGTGGTTGGACTGAACTTCCACTGGGGTGAGAACAACTCTATCGGCTCAGATCACGTCATAGATTCTTCCAGGTTAGTAAGATATGTGTCGAAGTGCAGGCCACCCACTCGCCATGCTAAGCCTTTTGTTTTTACATTTTTGTGGTTATTTTTGTTGTCAAGGGTCATTTTTACCACACTTCACCGGCGCCGTTTGGGCTCTGCTTGGTATCAATACATGTAATCAAATGGAGACCGTAATACCAATTATATACCAAAAATAATTGGTCACGATCGCAAAAGTTTAGTCAGTATCGTCAGTCGCCGTCTGTTCTTCTGTGTGCATTGTTAAAGAGTGTCCCGCCTTTGGGGCATGCTTCAAAAACATATTCTAGTGAAACCCCAGAACTAGTTACGTCCAATAATAGCACTGGGTAGTGCCACTGTGGCACTGTCAATATATAAAATGCATATCGATTTTAATCATCTTCTTGTCCAGCTTACGCTATCAACACATTGTAACAGCACTACGCTTCTTGCCTACAGCCGCGACTACCGTCATCATGACAACCACCGTGCGCACCTCTACTGTTGCGATTAAAAGAACGTTTGTGTTTGGTCCAGGGCGCAAGGGCCTGTTACCGAGGAGCGCACCGGATGAAGCTTGAAACAGTGCGGCACATGGGTCATATGACAGTTCCCTTCCCAAAGCCAAAGTGCGCCTCGAAAAAAAATACTGTTTTAAATGCCACGGGGAATAAATCAAAAGCCACAGGGTAGCGTTTCGTTGGATTCGCGGTGAAATAGCTTCATGTTCTCAAATATTTTTGCCTAAACAGAGTGCCTCCAGTTTTCATAGCATTTATCACACAAACATTTTGACACATCAGTGTGTCACAAACATCCCAGAACTCACACATTAGAAAAGCAAGACATCTAAAATCTAGTACTTTCATAGCGGTGAGCAGGGAGTTAAATGAGATTTCTGATGCAGCGTCGACGGCAACTTCAAATCGAAGTTCTGACGTATTCTGAAGGATTTCTGAAAAAATGGCTATACTGATCAAATTGTGCGCGTCCGAAAAACACTTACTGAAAAACAAGAACGTGGGAAAACCATTTAAAACCATGTAAATAGCTTACCATTTAAACCATTTAAATAGCTTACTACGCTTTAAATCGATGTACAGATCATGTCCACCGGTGGATGCAAGCCTCTTTGCATTCCGCGGCTTCAAGACGGTGTCAACACATATGTTCCCAGCGTTACACTGGCAACTCCTCCAAGTGCAGAATGACGATCGAGCGCCCATTCGCACAGCCAAACAGCCATTGTCGCTTACAAACTACAATAAAACGTCATGAAAACACAAGCATTCGGTTCACCTTCTCCATTGCGGGGGACGCAAATGGCAACACATGCAACACCATCGTGTTCAATATTTTGTAAAGCGATTTCAGGTCTCGCCCTACGAGAGTTCTTTCAGCTTCGCCTTTCTAGGGGAGGGTCTCACAAAGTTTTCCTGGAGTCTCGAAAACTAAACAAGATAAAGCCACGAGAAATAGTACTGGAAATGTCTCCTCACACTGCATGACATGTTGTACTGGCGAATGTGGCCTTAGACATGTCAGATTAGGCCATAGGGGTGAATAGCTAGCATCATAGGCATCTCAGGAAGCAAGCACGCCACGACAGTGCTGAAAACGGCGATGGGTGGCTCTCGAAACAAACAAGTCAAATGTGCTTCACTGGTAATTGACCGATGTGAACTGCGAAACTTCCTGGCAGGTCAAAGTGTTGAAACCCGTTGTTTCGTTAGTGCGCCTATGCCGAACGTATTGCATCAAGAACAAGTCACACCAATTGGCGAAAATAGCGTTAGAAAGACCTCTTAAAGCTGTAAGATAGGCGTCATTGGGGTCAAAATAGTAAGATCTTCAAAAGGTGAAGCCCGGTCACAAAAGACATAGTTTACATCGGGTCACAGGTTACAAAAGACATAGTTTACATCGGGTCACAGTTACGACAGGTCACATTAAATCAGGGTACAACATGTCGGAAAACCCCATACCAAATAGCAGGACTGAGTGTACTTGTGGTAAGCATTAGCCCGCGTGAGCACAATGCCGTGCGAATTAAAGTGCGAGTGATTGGCCCGTTTATCAAAATGCGAATAACTAGCACGTTTGTGAAAAGTAAGAATTATTATCCTGTTTGTGAAAACTTTTCATTTGTCACCGAAGCTTCAGTTCGGTTGTTCTATCAGCAAATGGATGAACCCGAGAAAGGACTTGGTCACTTTGCAGCAGGCACAAATTCATCAATTTTTTCCTCTATGCATCAATACAACGTTCAACGAATGGTCGGTACAATATTCCTGCATGCGATTTTCTGATTGGATGAGGTCTGGTCAAGTTCTGCAAAATGATGTCAGATTGGACTGAAATGCTCCAGGTGCGGTGTGTTACAGTAACAGTTTCAGTGCGTCTGCAGTAGAAAGTGGTCTTTTAAGACCAACACGAGCATGCCACACGTAACAGTCTGTAGGCAAACCAAAGTATATCCATTGCATCAAGAAAATGTTCTTGGTAACGTCAGCTCAGTAATTTACGAGTTTCATTATGGCAAAAATATGGCGTAATGCACACTGCATGATGCCTGACATTGCAACAACATGAACCATTATGTCATTTTCTCGTTTTATCAAAGGCTGGACCGCTGGTCAAAGGCCCGAAGAGAACCATCAAAACGCAGACTTAAGTACACGTGAAAGGCCAATTTCCAAAACAATGCGCCATTTGGTCAAGCATGCATTATGGTACAAAGCATACATTATGGTAGAATACCATTATGGTACGATGCATACATTGTGGCCCAAAGCACGCATTATGGCACACAGCCAACGTCATGGTAAAGTATACATTACGTGACTGTTTCAGGTTTCCTCTTGAGATGCAGATTGTTGCCAAGAACAGAGAGTACGCAACGATCGAGAAAGCGCAAAAGAAGATCGACGGTTTGGTCATTTTAGCAGTCCTCTTTGAGGTTTGTTCGTCCGTAAAGACTGCTGATGCTTTTAGGGGGCCTCACACGGTTGGTAGCATGCCAGCAACTATCTAATCGAGTTGGTGAAACCACTTAGCGTTGCAATGTCGTTGGTACTTAGCTCACATAAAATGTACACCTCGCCGAAGTCGTCGAAATATCGCTCAGGTTGCTGCGACCGCTCTGCCGAGACACCCTTAGGTCAAGCCAATCTCCCTCGTGCCAGCTAATGCACCGACGCCGTGACCACGGGCGTGTCTCAGGTCCAGATCTGAGATGGAGGCGGTTGCTGAGCCCGATGCTGAGACATCCTCAGGTCATGCCACTATTGCCTCCTCTCCCCTCTCCATGTTGCACCGACGCCGTGAACCCGGAGTGTCTCAGTCCACGACCTGAGACGGAAGGCCGGTGCGACCCCGCTTCTGAGACATCCTCAGGTCATGCATCTGCCCCCCTCTCCCTCCTCCAATGTTGCCCGAGCCGTGCCCCCGGGCGTGTCTCAGTTCCACGACCTGAGACGGAGCCGGTGGTGACCCTCTGCTGAGACGATCATAAGGTCCATGCCAATCTGGCCCCCCCCCCCCCCCAATGTCACCGACGCCGTGACCCACGGGCGTGTCTTAGGTCCACGACCCGAGACGGAGCCGGTGCTTGACCCACGCTGCTGCCGGCGCTGGCCAACATCTCGGCGCCGAGGCCAGCGCCACGCTCAGCTCAGCTCCCAGCCTGCGGGAGCTGATGCCGGACAGCGTGCGTCGGTTCTACCGGTACCACGGGTCGCTGGCGGCGCCGCCGTGCTCGCAGGCCGTCACCTGGCTGGTGTTCATGGACACCGTGCAGGTCACCGATGGCGAGGTGGGCTGATGTGGGGAGCCCGGCCGTGCGGTGCGACGCCAGGGATGCCGGCTGTGGGGAGCTCGGCCGTGCGGTGCGACGTCAGGAATGGGGGCTGATGTGGGAGCCTGGTTGCAGCACGCGACGCCAGGGATACGGGTGGATGCGGGGAGCCCGGCCGTGCGGTGCGACGCCAGGGATGCGGGCTGATGTGGGGGGGGGGCCCGGCCGTGCGGTGCGACGCCAGGGATGCGGGCTGATGTTGGGAGCCCGGCCGTGCGGTGCGACGCCAGGGATGTGGGCTGATGTGGGGAGCCGGGTAGCAGGGCGCGACGCCAGGGGTGCGGGCTGATATGGGGAGCCTGGTCGCAGGGCGCGACGCTAGGGGTGCGAGCTGATGTGGGGAGCCCGGCCGCGGGATGCGTCGCCAGGGGTGCGGGCCTTGGGGAGCTTGGCCGTGCGGTGCAACGCCAGGGATGCGGGCTCGGGTGTGCTCGGGCTGGAGCGACGAGGGAGCGAATCGGGTGTGTTTGTACAGGAGGGGTGCGGGTCGGGTGTGCTCGGACGGGAGGGATGCACGAATCGAGTTTCTTCTGATGGAAGAGACTCAGAACTTTTTTTGTTGGTTTTCTAACGGTAATGACCTGGAAACGTATATAAGTTAGAAGGGAGAGCCGTGGGATTGTGTGTACCTTGCCCGGATGGGTTTTGGTCGGATTGCTCTGGTGGGAGGGTACAGAATGGGCTGTGATCAGGTGAGAGGGGACCGTGTCTACTCTGGGGGAACGGATCGGGGATTGAAGTAAGCGCCACGACATCAAGATCGGAGTGGGCTTGCCTTGTAAAAATCACCGAGACTAAACCCCACGGCCGCAGTCGACTGCAACAGATGCTGGTTATCATTATCATGTGGCATCACTCCTATTTGAGACATTCTACCTCGAAAGATTCGCTGAATTCCTAAGCAATGAGAAGTGGCTGACGCCGAAAATAACTGTAGCGTAGCTAACAAGTATGCAACATAATGAACACTACGTCGCCTAATACTTTCAGTTTGTGTTCTTATCGACCAAATTTTAATTGCGCAGTACTGTTAGGGCTTGTGCTCAATGTTTATGACAAGGCGAGCACAACGCAGCACGTTAATGCCCCCATGTTACGTGGACTCAGACATCGCTTATCCAAACTAGCCTCCACCCACCACTCGCTCCGAAACGATCCTCCGCACCGCGCGTACATCATCCGTCGCCCTTCCGAGTGACACGGAAGTCGGCCGGCGCGCCTGGAGCTCGCCCTCTAAGCTGTGTCCGTGTCCACAGCTGGCAGCGTTCCGCAGCCTGAAACGATGCGACGGGTCGCCCCTGGTCAACAACTACCGACCCGCGCAGCCCCTGTCGGGGCGAACCGTCTACCTGCGACAGGCCAAGAGGCGCGACAGGTGTCCCTAGGGCGTGCGCCCACCCAATGGCCAGACTGGCAGCGGCCGCTGGCAGCGAGTGCCGCGGCAGGAGGTGGCCTGAGGGCTGCGGTTTGGGCTGGGCACGGTCAAGAGTCTGGAGCAGCTGTTATGTTTGGGGGCGTGATGAGGCTGGGCTGTTATACTGATGTGCGTCAGCGCTGACAACCCCTCGCACCGTAGGGTGGTGTCCCTCCTCGTGCATTAACCTGCCAACGTAGTGAATTTGAAATGTTGCAAAATTGCCGCAAAATGCGCTCATTAAAGCTTTCCCCTCATCTGATGGCATGTGTGGCGCTTATGTGCTAAAAAGGCTAAAACTTGCTATCGTTCGCCGGGTTATTTTAACGGCACTTCGTGACATCAGACGACGCTCGAACGCCGCGACGCAACGCCCGAGAACAACGAACACAAGTGAAAAAACGATTGGAGGGTACGTGAAAAGATGGTACGCGATAACAGCGCGCAGCGGTCCACACTCCAGAGCGTTGGCGCATGCCCATTTATGACAGCTGGACAGTCTTTACCAGGCTTTCTCAGTCATCATGTATTGCTACCAAAGAGCTTCTATTAACAGAACGCTTCTTTGGGAAAACATATATTCAGCTCTTAAAGCTAATAAAGTGAATTGAAACGCACATTTGCTTTTGCACATGCAGCTATACAATTACCGTTAAGCTTATTTGTGCGCCTACGCATCGGCTACAAAGCCAACGCAATCAAGCTATCCCGATTTTCGCAGTGACTTTAAATGTACGGCTTACTGCTGCACGTTTCGAGCAAAGACGAGAGGAGCACAACCCAAAAACTTTCACTGAAAACCGAGCTCAGCGCGCCGCGGACATGCACCATTCTCAGCTCATCGTAAAGTGACATCGCCGGCTCTTGATCTTATTTTTACGTGTCCGCCGGATCTTTAAACGTCAGCATTTCCTCAAGCACATATTCAGTCATACACATGCTATGATAGGTACGTACACATTATTCTACATCGTAATACATGCCACAAATTTGGTGAAGGTGGACACGTGCCTCCAGGGCCTCTATGTGCTCCCCCCCCCCCCCCCCTGCACATCTCTGTATCTGTGCACAGTGATTGACGCCTGTCTCGAGCTGTCCATGGGACTGGCTCCACTTCCGAGCCCGCCGCGACAAAAACAAACACGTCAACTCACCACTTTCTGAGGGCGCGTCCTGGATGGCCACAAGACATCTTGGGAGCGCTCTCCCAGCCGTGCAGTGCGGACTGATAACTCTGGAATGTATAGTTAACGGAACGACCCTAACCATTTATGATACGGCGTGCAAATGGGCCCGTGTTAAGTTGACGGCTTGCGCCCAGTTGCCGCTTGGTTATCACCGCGGCTTCTTTGCAGGACGGAATTTCGAGCCAGTCATGTTGTCTCTGCCTCCAACGTTGTATTTCTGAATACCTTATCAGTGCTGCGACGCCTCTATACCGCACAGTTGAAGTCTGGCATGCAAATCGCAGTTTGCTGAATGCTCACTGCTGTATTTCTGATAAAATCGGCATCCTCGTACACCTAGAAATCCCAAGATTCGCCGTTGCTAGCGCGACGGAGTGAATATTTTTTAGACTGCTTGAGCATCGCTCAACCTGTATCCCCACACGTACAGTCACTGGTAACCTTATGGGCTTTCAAACGAACTTTCCTACCAGCGCAAGGCGCTCTTCGATCCCCGTACCGGGTCGCAGCACGCATATACACTTCTCATTGTGCGTGCTGCGAAAATTTCAGGCTGTTACTACCCTCTGTTTAACCTGCACAAGACTCAGCAAACACGAGATGACAAATGGACAAACAGACAGACAGATAAACGCACAAATTTGTTGATAGTTTATTATATGCCTCGTGTGAGTACGTAGACAGTACAAAAACGTTGTGCACCTCCATATTGTAGCCGATCCTATTGTGTAATCCGAGGTCTAAACTTGGTTATAATGGAGGTCGCTTGATTACAGCAAAAATATAAAAAACTGGAAAATAAAAGTTGTAAGCGAAGGTCTGCACGACAGCAAGGCAGCCAAAACACGCAGATTTTGCTTCTGCGTTACCCGGAACTAGACTGGCCCAAATGATTTGGTGTTACAAAGCCCTGTTGTTTTCATACAGGGCTTGATTGGCTCCCGTCCCATCGGGTTTTCTTATCGCATGAACGGCTTGCTGATGAGATAGGACAAATCTGCTCCTGGTGCAAAGGTTAGTCGTCCCTCATAGAACGATAAAAAAATTGTGTCATGACCTCTCAAATAACTTTGCGGCGCATGGAGGCCGGAACTTGACCGAACTGTACCTTTATGTGATCAAACAGTAATCAGTTACCGTTGACCTCGCACGTTGAAGACCCGGCTTCCACAGGCGGATGTAGAGGATATGCAGGGAGGGTAATACCGCGGTGTGTTGGCATCGGTTTCGGCGCCAGAGTCACTGTGTGTGATAGTTTCCGACCAGGTGATGTTGAGCTTGGCCTGTGGGCCGCTCGAAAGGCGCACGATGGCGTTATGTTTTGCTTCATTATATTATGGGTTTGCGATCCGATAATTGTAACAGGTCCAATACACACGACCAGGGAAAGGAGCTTCCATGCTGAATGATTGTGGTCCTAACTCCGCTATAGATCTTCACAGGTGCGTGGACAAACATTAACATATCGACGGCCAGCCATCACAACCACAAATGGTGGGAACACACACTAAAGTACTCCTTATCAATCTGCACCAGGGCTTAAAACAGACGGATAGGGATACTGATCTCTCTACCTTGCGGTAAGAAGGAAGGGTTTATCCGATACGATATTTCGTTCCTAATAGAGTTCATTGCATTCGTCCGCTCTTTTTCTCCGTTTCAGGGTCGGTAGCTTATCTTCAGTACGATCCCTGACGCCCGCTTCTTCGCGCGGTGTCGGTAGCTCATGTATATTACGCACGGTATTGCTAGTTCACGTCTGCTCCACCCGTTGTCGGTAGCTCACGTCTGCTTCGCCCGGTGCCGGTAGCTCACGTCCGTTCCGCCCGGTGCCGGTAGCTCACGTCCGCTCCACCTGGCGTCGGTAGCTCACATCTGCTCCACCCGGCGTTGGTAGCTCACGTCTGCTTCAACAGGTACCTGTAGCTCACGTCTGATCCACCCGGTGTCGGTAGCTCACGTCTGCTCCACCCGGCGTCGGTAGCTCACGTCTCCTCCGCCCGGTGCCAGTAGCTCATGTCTGCTCCACCCGGTACCTGTAGCTCACGTCTGCTCCACCCGGCGTCGGTAGCTCACGTCTGCTCCACCCAGTACCTGCAGCTCACGTCTACTCCGCCCGTTGTCGGTAGTTCACGTCTGCTCCACCTGGTACCTGCAGCCCACGTCTGCTCCGCCCGTTGTCGGTAGCTCACGTCTGCTCCACCCAGTACCTGTAGCACACATCTGCTCCACCCGGCGTCAGTAGCTCACGTCTGCTCCGCCCGGCACCGGTAGCCCACATCTGCTCCACCTGGCGTCAGTAGCTCACGTCTGCTCCGCCCGGTACCGGTGGCTCACGTCTGCTCTACCCGGTGCCGGTAGCTCACGTCTACTCCGCCCGGTGCCGGTAGCTCACGTCTGCTCCACCCGGCGTCAGTAGCTCACGTCTGCTCCGCCCGGTGCCGGTAGCTCATGTCCAGGATGAGGCCGACGCTGGGTTCGATGCTGTCCAGCTCGGTGCGCGAGGCGTCCCGCAGCAGGCGCGGCCCGTTGCTCTGGTCGGGCAGGTCGCGTGACACCGAGAAGCCGGGGAAGCGGAGCCGCTCGGGCCGCTCGGGCCGCTCGGCTCCCGCCGGCTCCCAGACGGCGTCGGATCGCGTTAGCCGCCGCCGCGCCGCCGCCGCCGCCGTCGCCGCCGGCTCCTCCGACAGGGAGCCGGAGTAGGCCGTCAGAGTGAAGGGCACGGCGCGGCGGATGGGAGGCATGGCCGAGCCGGTCAGCTGGTGCTGGCGCCGGTAGTGGAACTGCAGACACTGCTTGGTGGTGAAGGTGGCGCCGCAGTCTGCCAGCGCGCAGCTGGGGAGGGACGTGGCGTTAGAGAAGTGCGAGCAGATGGCCGTGCTCTGTGACGGCCGTGCGACGGTGCGGCTTTCGCCACTGCATCCGAAACGTTTATCACGCGTCACCTCGTTTTTTCACGGCCGCATCGAAATATTTCATAATTTTAGCATGTGCGTTATGGGCGTGATGCAAAAATGAACTCGAAATGATATCTTTGTTCAGTCGCCCATCATGGTCATTTCAAGAACGCTCCACCTCTGGTTACCATTTAACACACCAAATGAAAGCAAGGTGCGCATAACACATCAAACTGAGAAAATACCACAGTTTAATATTTCCACGGAAAACTAGCGCCTTACTTCGTCGCGAACGCCAGGTAATCTTTGACGGTTTTTACCCATAGCAGAGCCTACCAGCACGTATCATGACAGGAGCTCGCCATTCACCAAACCTCGCACCACTCACTGGAACGGCTTGACGCCGGAGTGCGTGAGCATGTGGATCTTGAGGTTGGAGCGGTTCTGGAAGGGCTTGCCGCAGCGGCGGCAGTGGAGCTGGGCGTGACGGCCGTCCGCCGCCGCGTGCACCTCACGCATGTGCCGTCGGAGTGCCGTGCCGCAGCTCAGCACCCGGCCACAGCTCTGGCAGCGGAACTCCGGCGGCGGCGAGCCGGCCTCTGCGGCGCAACTCCGGTCAGCTCCGGAGCTCCGGTCAGGAACGGCAGACGCTGGGACGGGGACCACCCGCGCTGCTCAGCAGCAGGGACACAGGGATCACGCGGTACTATGATTGGCAACGCAAGACGTAGAGACCAAAGCCACGCGCGCTTCGGGATCAGTGACGAGAGGCGCAGGGATCACGCACTTGTTCTGGTCAGCAGCAAGAGAAACAGAGATTGGGGTCACGAGCGTGCTCCATTCAGCGACGAGAGGCACAGGGACCACACTCGTGTCTCAGGCGGCAGCGCGAGACAGGGCCGGAACCTGGCACGTGTTCCGGTGCGAGCCACACCGCCCATTTGGCCGTTCCTGGACTCCGAATGTGCCTTCGGGTAGTCACGCAAGATCACCTCGCACGTTTCGACGATACGCACGAGAAGTTGTTCGTGTTGTTACGAGAACCCGGGCGCTGGTGAGGTGATAAGTGAAACGTCTTTCATCGGCGCTTTCCGCGAGGTTGTTTTTGTCGCGGTTTGCCATCCCCAGAGATGGAGAAGGCGGAGGACTATGACACGGCATCCAACCTTCATCCCATGGCGCACGACGTCCGCTGTAGTCGACGCACCCGAAAGATCAAACGACCGCCATCACAATATTGATATCAACTGCTGGCTTTCCTAAGACGTTGCGACCGAGTGTATGCTACATTTGTATCTCAACGTCATTATCTGTCTGGATGGAACGAAGGTGATCTCGCTACCACACATGACATTGGTTGGGCGTGTGCTGAATGGTCCTATTAAGCACACACCATTCACTAAACAACACTTTGCATCCATGTTGCAATACATTTTTGATAAAATTTGAATAAAAAAATTACGGTATCTGCCACAAACAGCACGTTTCTGTCTCGCCACTAAGATGGCGGCCGCCGTTACCAAAGTTACGTGACGGTAATACAGCCGCCGGGGAGCGCACCTGAGTGGACACGTCGGATGTGCGCGCGCAGCTTCTGCGGCTGACAGAAGCGCGTGCCGCACAGGTGACAGAGCGGGTGCGTGCGCAGCGGGTTGGCCGCGCAGCCGTGGTTCCGGTGTACGTCCAGGTAGCCGAGCCGACGGAAGTACTGGCGACGGGACAGTCAGTGACGCGGCGCCGACAGGGTCACAGCTGCAGACGGACGACGTCTGAACATGCGAGATTGCTGGGGAAAACTTGTGGGAGATATGTCCTACAGGGGACGGCTCTCCCGCGGTGTGGGTGGCGTTTCAAATAGCCGCAAGCTGAAGTAGCATATCTCCTGTCGCCTGATGTGTAACTAAATACCCATTGCCGGGACAGGCATGCAGCACCTTCGCGTTACCAATATACTGTTGCCACCTGGGCTTTTCGTGGCTATGAAAGTGGAATAACGAGACAGTGACATCAGTATTGCTGTGCTTTACGTGCGTTGTATTTAGTGTCGCCGGTAGTTAAATCATCTGATCTGGGGGATCTTTCATAAAAACCTGCAGGAAGTCTATTTACGGCTCTACAAGTGCCTAACGTAAAGAGCACGACATAAACGGTCAGTGGACTGACCTTGCCGCAGTGCTGGCACTGGTAAGCGCCGGCACCGCCGTGCTGCTCCAAAGCATGCCGCAGCAGCTTCTGACGTCCCAGCACCGCCTCACCGCACACCTGAGGCGTGGTCATAGACAGGTGTAAACACAGCAGCTCCTGGCGTCCCAGCACCGCCTCACCGCACACCTGAGGCGTGGTCAGAGACAGGTGTAAACACAGCAGCTCCTGCGTCCCAGCACGCCTCACCGCACACCTGAGGTGTGGTCAGAGACAGGTGAAAACACAGCAGCTCCTGACGTCCCAGCACCGCCTCACCGCACACCTGAGGCGTGGTCAGACAGGTGTAAACACAGCAGCTCCTGACGTCCCAGTACCGCCTCACCGCACACCTGAGGCGTGGTCAGAGACAGGTGTAAACACAGCAGCTCCTGGCGTCCCAGCACCGCCTCACCGCACACCTGAGGTGTGGTCAGAGACAGGTGTAAACACAGCAGCTCCTGACGTCCCAGCACCGCCTCACCGCACACCTGAGGCGTGGTCAGAGACAGGTGTAAACACAGCAGCTCCTGACGTCCCAGCACTGCCTCACCGCGCACCTGGGGCGTGGACAGAGACAGGTGTAAACACAGCAGCTCCTGACGTCCCAGCACCGCCTCACCGCACACCTGAGGCGTGGTCAGAGACAGGTGTAAACACAGCAGCTTCTGAAGTCGGCCTGCTCACCTTACAGTAGTACTTGCGAATGGTGAGTGGGGTTCCCGGCTCGTGAAATAATGAGCAGTGGCGCCGGTAGAACAAGGGGTGCTCAAACTTGAGATTGCAGCCGCCACAGCCTGGAAGCATACATGCAGCATACGTTTTACTTCAACTCTCAAGTCGGCAAATCTTCCCAAAACGAGGAGGGCGCTCATGAGAATGTCATGGAGAGTATAAGACGTTGCTCTCACAGCTTGATACCACTCACAATCAGGTCATTAAAAGTCCTCGATGATGCTCTTTCATCATGACGCTGCACCTCATATGCGTCCAAGCGCGTTCACCAGCAAAATCAATCGATAAATGAGCATTACGAGCCTGTGTTCGACTTCGCTGTGTATGGCCGACTGAGTTCGACCTTACCACAGAAGGCTCGCCGTCGCGCATGGCGCCAACTCACTGTTCTTCAGCATGTTCTTGCGCTGCCAGGTGTTGCCGGGGTCGTCCTGCCAGTACAGCAGCTCCTGGTCGGGAGCGAGGTCGCACGTGGTGACGGCGAACAGGCAGCGTCCCCTGGTGAGGACTGCCACCGTCCGTTCGGCCCGCGTCGGCGCCGGTCGCAGCAACCGGAACCAGTTGGAGCTGGCAGGGTCTATCGTGTCAAGGAACACGCCCTCCCCGTACACCTGGGATAGAGCAGCCTTCCTGAGAAGTCTGCCCCCGAGCAGCACGCACTCAGGGGCGCAGTTTTGAGAAATTATTTCGAACGCGAGATGGAAAAAATTGGCCAAGGCTTCCTACAAAGCATAGCCAAACATCCCGGATCACCCCATATTTAGCCTGTCTTCTGAAAGTTAGGGGCCGAAGCTTCCTCCCATCCCAAAACAGCCGAATGGGGGTCTACTGACTGCATATGCTCTATTGCATCTCTGGAGCAGGGCAAGCGAGCAGGCTCTGACATGCTCAAAAATACACTTTCCGCATAAACAATATGAGTACACGTTTAGAAATGCGGCTACGTGCCCATGGGAGTGCACAAGTTCCAATCTGCATAAAGGCTCATCATTTAATTCATGCCTGTTGGCAGACATTTCCTTGAAGATGTAAACAGTGGTAGTGGTTTAGTGAGACGGTACGCTTACGTCATTACGCACCAGTGCCAAAGGTGGCGCACCAGAGGCGACGCCGTTTTGTTAGGGCTCTCAGGAGTTCTATGTTTACTGGTTCCCCGAGCTGGGAGGACGTGACACGTTTAGCTGTTTGAGAAGTCTGTTTAGCGTTTTGTTAGGGCTCTCGGGAGTTTCATGTTCACTGGTTCCCCGAGCTGGGAGGACGTGACACGTTTAGCTGCCGTCTGAACGGAATACACCATGCTTCATGTGAAACTTATCTTACTACAATCGAATCCCTTTTATCTTACCACGGTCTACAGAAGATGCTAAACGTGAGACCATCTACCGTCGACACTGGTGAAGACCAATGGCCGTGCCAATGGCGGCCAATGGCCGTGCCTCAGTGGAACAGAACGTTGACCACACCTCACCTGCACCGACTCCTCCCCGGAGACACGCCTCCCACCTGTACTTCTACCCCACCTTGCGCCGCCTCCCAACTGACCTCCCAGATGTGGTGGAGGCCCGTCGCGTCTGTGACCTGCTCGGGCCGCACCGGGCGGCCCCGCAATGGCCCAAGCAGCGTGAAGGCAGCCAGGCCGGCCGCTCCCGCCCGCACCATGCTGCCATCTATGTGCAGACACGGCGGTAGCGTTTCGGCAGCCGTCGGGCCGTCGGCGTCCTGCACCCAGCATCGTGGCTGCAGCAGCGGACACGCCGCCGACACGTGCACGCAGTCGCAGCTGGCGCAGGGCGATGGTGGCGCCGCCTTTACTGACGGTGCCTGAGCTTGTGCTGGTGCCTCCGTGGCACTCGGCGCGGCTGGTGCTGGGTGTTGCCCGTAGCAGCTGGAATCAGTGTCGTAAACGGTGGCAGTGTTTTATTTTGGATCGTGTTTTTTTGGATGGATCGTCCTAAAGTCATGGCTGCATTCTGGTCCTTCGGCAGGTTTTGCAGCAGCTATTACCATTTGGTGCGGCACACATTCCTTATTGCATAAATGCTTTGCAAAGCGTGTTTGGGCCGCATCTCCTCTGAAAAACCACGATGCTACTCAGATTGCAACAGCGTCACAGGTCCAACGTTCTTGAAAATCAGAGGCTGGGCGTTTATCTGACCTGACCTGTTCTGGAGCTGGCACGGATCGACCGGAGCTGGAGATCCAAGCGGAGAGTCACAACCCTCATCAGCAGTGCCCCCGTGGGCACGGAAGTCCTCTGTTGCCGAGCTTGCAGGAACGTCGCTGGCTTCGCCGCACATGGTGGCACCACCTGCGAGGCAGATGACAGCATCTGCCACGGCACGACCGGCCGGTGCGCACGGGCTGCAGGTGGCGCCACCTGTCTCGCACGTTGTGGTCTCGCTCCTGTTACCGGTGCTGGGATCATCCGAGGCGCAAATGACAGCGCCATCTATATCACAAATGGTAGCGCCATCTGTGCTGCAGATGGCGCGACCTCGTCGCAACACGCAGGGCCGCGTGGAGCGAGTCGGGCGCGCCGACGAGGGGCCACCCGGCCGGCCCTCTTCAGCCGGCACCGTCCGGCGCCTGTGGTGATCAGCTCCGCACGTGGCCGACCGACCGGCGACATCCGCACTCGCTGGTCCCGCCGGTCCCGCCGGTCCCGCCGGTCCCACCGGTCCCGCCGGTCCGTCCTCGCCGCTTGATGTCCGCAGCGGCTTCCGGCTCGGATCTCGCACGTGACGTCCGCCCGTCGGCGGTGGCTCCCCGCAGTATGGCTCGGCGTAACCGTCGGCCGGCGCGCTGTTCATCGGGCGCATCTCATGGACGGCATCGGAAGGGAGGCTCTCCCCGTGCCGGGTGCTGGAGAGGTTCTCCACGAGGTGGTGCTTCTCTCCGCTGGGAGATTCGCTGTGGAGGTGCGCGCGCTGGCCGGCAAGGTTCCCGTCCCAATATTGCAGGTCTGCTCTGACGTCGGCGGCCGTCGTCAGGCCCCTCCTACTGGCGGCCACGTCACGGTGAGACGGCGCCCCATTGGTTCCTGACGACGCCTCATCAGAGCTTGACTGGCTCTGATTGGTCAGCGGCTTTGGCTGGGCGTGGTGCGGAGATGTCTCGTAATCGGATAGTTCTCTGGAACAAAAGCGAATTCGTGGTCACAAAACGATCTCAAAACGAAGCTTTACCAGCAAACCAGCTTCACCATCTCAGCAAACTTTAAACTAAGCCATTGAAAGCACACTCTGTCGACCTGTGTCGACATATCCTTCAGCTTCAGTGACGAGCGTGACATCGGAGCTCACACAGCTAAGCCACCCTGGCAAACCTTGGGACCAAAGGTGGCACGAGGCAGGCTCTGCAAAACATCACCTAAAACATCAGATGTCCACCAGAGAGGAAGTCCCGGTATTTCGCCATGGAAACGCGAGACCCCACCACGGCTCACCTGCAGTGTTTCTCGGCCAATTGAAGCAGCGCCTCCACCAGCGGCGCCAGCCGAGCGCAGCGCAAGAGACGGAGCACGACCTGCCACCTGGCGGTGCGGTCGGGAGTCAGGTGCAGCAGGCCGGAGCAGGCTCCTGCGCCGCTCACCTCCAGACGGATCATGCCGGCTCCTCGGCAGAACCGGCGCTGCCGCTGGAGCGAAGCAGAGTCAGGCCCTGGGGGCAAGGGGGGCGGTTTAGGGCAGATGCGGCCCTGCGCTGCTCGTGTCGGAAGCGGCTTCGTGTCTCAACTTTTCGGCACGTTACCCCGGCAGGCGCAGACGTCGTCGGCACTACTGGCGAGCTGGCTTCCGTGGCGATCGACGTGTTGTAAAGATGGCGCAGTCGGCAACACGCTTCGGCGATATGGTATGCTGCTTTAAATAGGTTAGCAGTGTGGGCATTTTGGTTCCGTGAACATAAGCAAATAACACATCATACACGTGTGTATGATGTGCTGTGAGGCGCGCCCGTGAAGAACAAGGGTCCTCATGCCAGTTGGACGGGATCCTTCATTTGGGACGGAGCCTGTTAGAGTGAAAGATGCAAGTATCGGTAAGTTACTCCGGCAACTATTTGCCACCTGCCGTTTGACAACGGCTCTTGATAAGGCCAGCGCGCCGAGCAGTGATGGCTCAGCATGACGGGCGGTGTCACTGATTCATCCCTCGATTCACTGTTCACGCCACGAGTGGTGCTGGTGCGCACAGCTCCGCACGCCACACGCAGGTGGCTTCTCTGGCCACCTCCACCTGACTCCATATCGCCAGTTTGTTGAAGTAAAACGCGCGGTTTCACCATTGTTTTGTTTTTGTTTCGTACTGCACTGAAGCTTTTGCGGCCAGTTCTAACCATGCCATGGATGTGGAATGTGGGCAGTAGGGGGACTTCAACCTCAGCAGTAGGGGGACTTCAACCTCAGACTTCAAGACTTCAGCCACCGTGGGAAGCCCCCGGGTAACGGGTCTCGCTTGGCCCGGAATCTCCGGATAAGTGGGATTCTGACGGGTGTTTGTACGGAGCACCCGCCAGGGCAGCCGGGATGCCAGGGCGCCTTTGATGGCTGCGCTTTACTCCGGTGAAACGGAGAGCTGCGAAGATTTCGAATCAACTGCTAAATGGAATCAAATGGTGAATGGAAGCGCGACGGATGCTTTCATTTTGCACATCCAAACGATAGCGTGCGTCATCGTGAGAAGCGCGAGTTTTTATCAATATGCTCGTAATGCGATTGTGTTGATTTAATGTTAGACAATGGTATGACCATAGTTCTAATTCTGGCAAGATCCACCTATTTGTTCGAAACGCATAATGCTCAACTAACCATCCTGGCCCATTATTACTTCACAGCACGTTGTGATGCAAGGATGTCCAGCTAGCAGTGTGTTGGGCACGAGGACGCAGACAGGCGGCAACAAAGTGAACCAAAACCGGGTGCATGCACATATTTTTCAGCACAAGCCATGACCTTGCACGCGCCCACCTCCACGGACCCACTGAGACATCCACGAACACTCACCAGGCCCCGCGAACGCCGCGCCTCAGCTGCCTCCTGTGATTTTCTTCCCCGCCGGCTCAGCGCACGCTGCCCACAGTACAACACCCAGTGCGGCGCGTCTGGCTCACGCCGCAGCGCCTGCGCCGCCTCCGCCGCCTCGCCACAGCCGCGCGCCGACCGCCGCCGAAGTGCCTCAGGCGTCGTTTCGCGCGCTGCCGGAGCGCGCGCCGCCGGAGCGCGCGCTGCTGCGGCGCTCGCGTCGTTGGCCTGGGCCGCCTGCCGCCGCCGCGCTGGCCGCCGCCGCCGTCGGCCGCCAACAGGTCGAGACTGCCCGGCCGACGCTGCCCGATCGATACCAACCCACAGGTGCGTCGGCACCGACGCCGACGACGGCGGCGACGGAGCCGACGGAGCACGGCAACGTAGGCGACGGAAGCGACTGAGCCGGCGGAGCGACGGCGGTGACAGAGCCGGCGGAGCATAGCAACAACAGCGACGGAAATAGCAGAGCGACGGCGGCGACGGAGCCGGTGGAGCGACAGCAGCGACGGGGCCGGCGGAGCGTGGCAACGACGGAGGCGGAAATAGCGGAGCGACGGCGGCGGCCGGGCCGTTGAAGCGTGACAGCAAGCAGCGGAGCCGTCGCAATTGAGGATGCCAATTCGACAGTACGGCGAGGACCCTGAGTTTGCGTCATACGTGAGCGCCGCTGCCGGTGGAATGTGGGTGCGGCGCCGGGTACCGGAGCCGACGACTGCGGCCCAGGGACCACGCGGCGCCGTGCCAGGGTCAACATTAGCGGCAGGCACGGCGCTTCGCGTCGCACACAAATGATAACAAGTCATGTCTGCGTTGCCTGGACCGCCTCCCGCCCCGTGGCTTCAGGTTCGGTCGTCGAGGTGGTGGGAAGGTTTCTGTGCGGCGTACCGGCCGCGCCGTCCTCGCCCCGTGAAACGAGCACCGTGCGTTAACGGTCATTGCGCGGCGTTCCGCACAAGGGACGCGGACGAGACAGCAGGCGTGGTTGTTCAGGGCGATTCGCCCACCACCCGCCATTTGGCTTTCCATCACGACCTGCGCACGCAGTTCAAACAGGTTCATCGAAACAAATGCGCTCCGCGGCGTCGGTCAACAAGGCCTTTGGGGCGCTTCGGTCCGCAGGTCAGCCTTCCATTGGGGGGTGGGAGGGGGGGGGGGGGGGACACGCTGCTTCTCTATCTCACTTGTGCGACTGGACCGCCTCATGGTTTCAGCAATCGCCGTGGTGAATACCGCAATGAGCAAGGCGTGACGACAAATAGCAGAAAAGTTTGAGCCATGAATGATAACTCAGGAGAATTGTCGCAGAAATCGTCACCGTTTCCCGTCGTCCACTCTCTCTCCAAGCGATCAATGCCATCGACACAGCGGCAATTAAACGTCTAAGAAACCCTGCCTTCGACTCTCGCGCGCAGGCCAAACCCGTCACATCATGACCACGCTTCCTCTCTGAGCGCAACGAGAGCTTAAGCAGCCACAAGCATGATCATGATTGGGGCTCTGCGTCCCACAGACTATCAGGGCCATTTCCAGGCGGAAAACAGTCACAACAGACACTATTAAAATATATTTGTTCACCTGCGAGGACAGCCCGGCGGCCCTCCCCCGCTGCATGGAATGTAGCGCGGTCTCTGCCAACCCCTGGCGTGACACCGCTACCCTGTCCCGACGGTCGCAGGGTCAACAGCACGGCCGCGACACCGTTCGCTACACACGGACAGCCGGCCGGCGGCCACATCCGACCACCGACACACGCGCACGCTCCTCCTACGCTTAGATAACGGACGCTCGCACACACGCACGCACTGCCGCCTCCGAGCACGCTTCCCGCCGGCGCGACGACTATGACTGCAGGTTGAAATCCGCGTGCCGCCGGCGCCGCCGCACCCTGGCGGCGCCGGCGAGCGCGGCCGTCCCGGGGCGGCGACCGACGCGACTCGGAGCCGCGCGCGCCGCTGCGGGAGCCAGGGGGCCGGCCTCGTCACGCTGGGCGAATGACTGCTGCACGGGCCGGCGCGTCACGTAACGACACTAGAGACACGCGCCACGGAGTTATTATTCCTTCTAATCGCTCGGCTACGAAAACAGTTTCTTTAGCTTAATCTTCTTGGATTTCTTCTTCTCCGTCGCCTGTTCCTTCTCGTCTATGTCCTTGTCGTCGTCCTGGTCCTTTTTCTTTTTGCCGCTTCTCTCCTTCTCCTTCTTCTCCTTGTCCTTCTTTTTCTTCTTCTTCTTGTCCTTCTTTTTCTTTTCCGGCGTCGGTTCTGCCGAGCCCACTCTTTCCGCTGGAAAATCCGAAGTTCGCATTGTTAGACCACATCCCTCACCGCTGATGCGGAGCCGGGGCAGAGCTTCGCAACGTTATCAAACTATTTTCCCCGGAAAGACGATTTCCATACGGCCCTGTATCCTGCGGCAATACAAGCCGCCGCAGAAAGATAGTGTTTGGTCACAGTGGGTGACATCTGCAGCAGCAATGCCAAGCAACGGCCTTTACTCATAGCTTGCCTGGTTTCACTGATTTCAGCCAAAGTACCACTACTGGTCTCATCCACCGAGAAAAAACAAGGTTAAATCGTGCAACTGCACGGATTTTCCAACGTGCAATGCCGCGGGCATGCGAAAGTAATTAATATTGTGAAACCAAACGCCAGGTTAGCATGATCTGCTGAACACAATCACATGCTTGGAGTATGAATTAAATGTCACATAACCGAACGCGACGTTAGTGGAAACAAAACTTGGAAAACCTGCTCATGGGCCATCTCGCATACACGCGAGACACGCGTTAGACAAGAGGAATGCCATACAGCAAGGCAGCATGTCAAAGGAAACCAAATTAATGCTATGCTGAACTGGTGTAACTCCATTACGTTACAGAAGCTAGCCTGCCACCGCCAGCGGCGGAAGTGGCTCCCCCCCCGCCCCATCCCCGACCAGCATGCAGCGGCGGCGGCGTGCCGGCCCCTCCAGTTGGAGGAGGCCCGCCACGGCCACCGCGCCAGCCCGGGGCAGCCGACAGGGGCGCCGCGGGCACCGCCGGCCGCCGCGGCCGACGGCCGGCGGCGCCAAACGGCCCTACGTGCGAGAGATGGGGAGAGAGGAGAGCGCAGGCGGCGAGCGTGCACAGGTGATGCCAGCAGGCGGCGGAGGGAGCAGGCGCGAGGCCGACATGCCCCGCGCAGAGTGAGGCTCCCACGCCTGAAGGCGCTTCCGGTCCGGTTAGGTGGCATCCATCCATCAACAGCCTCCAGGCCGCCTCGGCCATCACAGGACCACGCGCAACGGAAAGGATCAAGCATTCCACACGCCAGCAGACAAGCCGGCAGCAAGCTCGACGACGCCAGCCACATGCAAGCGCCAGTCCCACGCGGCGCCTCCGAACACTGCGCCAGGAAGCGAGAGGGAGAGAGACTGCCTGAGCCGTGCGGTGCTGGATCTAAGGCGCGCGCGCCCCCGCCGCCGCCCGGCCGGCCGGCGGCGAGTCAGGACGACCGGCCCGGGCGGGCGGGCGGGCGGGCGGCGCGCGGCGTCGGCGTCTTTGCCCCGGGCGGGCGCGGTATACCTGTGTACAGACCCATGTGGTAGTCGATGCTGGCGTCCTCCTGGATCTCGCGGATGCGCTCCATCTCCAGCATGGTCACGATCTCGTTGCGCTGCTCCACCACCGAGACGAGCCTGGAGGCGGCGGAGCGGGCGGGCGCGCGTGAGGGTGGCGTTCCAGAGCGAGGGCCAGCCGAGTTTTCGACAATAACAGCACCCAATATGTCGGCCCACACACGACGCATGGAAATATAACTCCCAGATATAACCCAGATCCGACGTCCCCGCCCCACCCTTGGCTTCTGCCGGACCCTTAAAAATCCGACGGTCTACGCGAACACGCCTACAGGACTGAGCCAGACCGCTCCAAGCCGCTGTCAGCCTCCGGCCGGGACGACAGCTGACGCAGCGCTCTGGCGCCAGCTGACCACACCACACCCCGGCGGTTCGGCAGACCCCGAGCCCTCGAGCGCGCCGCGCGGCCGGCGGCGGCCTCTCGCACCGGTCGATCAGCTGCTGCTCCCGCTGCCGCTCCGGCTCCGTCTTCAGCGAGTCGGCCTTCATCATCAGACAGCGGATCTCGTACTCCAGCTCGGCGTGCTCCTCCTCCAGACGGTGCTGGCGCCGCCTGGTGGAGCGCGGACCAAACAGGTCAGCGGACCCGCGGGTCCGGCGGCGGGAGGACGCCAGGCGCGGTCGGTGGTGAGTGGGCTGGACGCGTTCCCGGCTAACCGCGCGAAAACTAAGACACCAGCACACTGCGCTCGACATCTGACTGGCACGGCGCAAGGATAAGACTCCGCGCCGATTATCACGGTGGTGATAATCAGGGGCGATAATCGCCACAATTCGCAGGCAAAACACAGCTACGGTACCTGGTGACATCGGTCCGCAAACGCGTTAGCTCCTCGGGCTAGCCCGCGGACATGTTCGGCCCTGCTTGCATGTCCACCACATCACTGAATCACACTCACATGTCCAACACTCGACCACATTCAACTGCACACCAGCCTGACCACACTCACATGTACATCAGCTCGGCCTGGCGCCGGAACAGGGCGTTCTTCTCGTTGACCAGGTCAAACAGCTGCAGGATCATGTCCTCGATGTCCAGTCCGTAGGGCGCCGTGCTGTCCAGCTCTGTTGGCACCGACAGCCGCTGGTAACGAGCGGCGCTCACACTGTCGGACCGGCCGGCGGCGGGCGCGGCTGTCCGCCGCCACATGCTGACTGCCAAGCGGGCGCACCGACTCACCACTGCCTCACGAGTACCTGGCTCGTGACCCAGACGGCCCGCGGCCCCCGCGGCCGACGCCCTGAACGGCTTCGGCCGAAGCCTCCGCTACATTTACAATCCCCAGCGGCGTTCGTGAGCGCGCGACGCCCGTTCCTCGCGAGGTCACCGGCCCCTGGTCAAGTGCGAGCCCTGCAGCCCCCCCTCCCCTCCTCCCCCGCAAGGGCGCACCCTTCTGCTGCTTGTCCTCCAGCTCCGTCAGCTGCCGGATGGTCTTCTCCAGCTCCACGCCCTGCCGCTCCAGCTCCAGCTGCTTCACGTTGATGTCGTGCAGCTCC